ACTATTTCTGATCTGATTTCCTGTATACCTTTCTCCAGTTGTTTCTTTACTTCAGATACTATAGTTTCAGAGTTTTTAGGTGTGCAATTTCCAATTTCTTCTATGCTAGCATCTCTTGTATTTGTTCTCGGTGGGCTGGGGGCCTGAGAAAGCATTTTTGTCTTTCTGTTTGTCATTTTGTATAGCACTGTCCTCTAACCTTTGGTGTAGAGCTTTGGTGCAGTTATTACCTTAGAACCTACCAGAATTCTTACCTGAGAGATTATGTAGTTAAAACAACTACAGTTTTGTATTTACAGAAAGACAATTACCAACTCTAGTAATGGGTAGTGAGATTTAGCAGTTGACAAACTTTTGTAACTAATGGGTTTATATTTTAGGCCATAAGAGCAAACATTATGACTGTATAGCTAAGAAGATACCAATTTTGGAATTTGTATTTAAATGAGTTCCCCTAAATTCTGTCTGTCCAACTCCCCTTGATGTACATGGTGTCTTCCAGGCAGACTAGTTCACCCCGGTTACCTGTTGACCCCTCTCTCAATTGAGAGAGAGAGAGAGTATTGTCTCATAGATCTGGGTCTAGCAAAGTGTCTCAGCTTGCCAGATCTGGATCTACCAAGTTTGAGCTGGTCCAGGTGGGCATGGCTTATGTGTATCTTCTCTGCTCCTCTTTTTCCTGCTGCAGCCTGTGGAAGTAGGTCTGCTGTGCCCTTCTGGCAAGATGTTTATCTCCTGCATTAGCTGGATTGGTCTGGCCACCAGCTTCTCTGCAGGGTTCTGCTGCAGGTTTCCACACCAGGACTGTCTCCTGGAGGAGTTTCCAGAGAGTATGCAAATGGTTCCACACACATGCCGGGACTGGGAGCTCGCTGGAAGTGTTCAGTTCTTAAGCTTTGCTGAACACCAAGCAGGAAGGGACTTCCTGATGAGGAAGCTTCATGTGTGGAGTGAACTCTGGAAGAATCTACCCCTTCCTACCCTCACATGATTACAAGCTGGTCCAAGCTTCATGTAAATTTTTTTTTTTTTTTTGGTGGAACGGGGGATTGAACTCAGGCCCTTGCACTTGCCAGGGAAGCGCTTATTCGACTGAGCCATCTCCCCGGCCCCATGTAAAAGTTAAAGTGGCAGAAAAAATGAAGGCAGGAAAAGTCAGATTAAGCTGGTGTCCAGAAATTGGAAGGAATCACAGGTAGAGATTTGGGTCCTTATTTCAATTCTAAGACTACTTCCTTTTTGACGCACAGCAGGTGGAAATTGCAGGTGCTGGACTGGAGGGATGGACACGAGGACTTCTGGATTGGAGGACCCAGAGCCATGAATGCTGTCCACTTAGCAGATGCCAAGAGTAAGGATGCAAGCAAGCCTGGGTTAAGTGAGAATCAGCCGACCTTGAGAATATTCACACACCTTTGCTTTGAACCCTGGGCTTCCTCTTTTTCCGTATATGACCAATTACAACTCTGCCTCTTGAAGTGGGCTAGAAAGAGAAAAGCTTCAGTACACCTGTACTCTGAGAAGGTGACAATCAAGTCCAGTGAAGTCTTTAAAATCCTGAAGCTTCTGCAAACTGTGCAACTGGACTCTATCCAGGAGCTGAACATTCTGTGTGACTGGGGTCAGAAAGGCATGAAAGCATTTGTGCGTCTGCTCAAGAAGATGAAAAATCTTCGCACAATTCACTTCAGCCGCCTGAGTGCAGAAAGGCTTACTGCATTCGTGGAGAACAAGCTCTATTCCTGCCTCCACCCTTTTCACATAGGAGACCTGCCGAGTCTTCGTGAGCTTCACCTAGATGAAGTCTTCCTGCATGGAACCCTGCATGAGATCTTAAGGTGAGTGGGGGTGAGCACCTTTGCACATTCACAGTTACAGTAAATATCAAGAGGGCTTCTCTGCGCTGGCTTTGAGGACAACACCAAGAAGTGAAAGGCATAGTACTCTCTGGACCTTGACAATGTCTCCCTCAACCTGCCATGTCAGAGCAGGGACTTATCAGGCATAGGAAGTCTGGAGCACCCCATGCTGGCAAAACTGCCATCAGAGAGCAGAAAAAATGAGGCCAGATTAAATTTAACCCTTAGGAATCAGGTCTAGGTAAGGTGCTGGAAAAACAGGAAGGGCACTAGCGGAGTGCAAGTCTGCACACCTGCACAATGAACTAGGAGCTGAGCAGTTGATTGGCTTCTCAAAGTCACTTTCTCTTGCTTGGACAATAATACCCCATGGCTACCAGTTAAAGCAGGAAAGTTATTATGTAGCTCACAATTTATAGAGGCTTCAGTCCACAGTCAGCTGGGTGCAGGCGTAGAAGAGAAGAAAGAGTCCACTGCAGAGTGGACAGAAAGCAGCAAGCTGCCTTCTGTTTTCCCTCTACGTTCCATCCAGGCTCTTAGGCTACTTGTTGGTGCCATCCACCCAAGGTCGGTGCTGCGCTCTTCTGTAATTCCATCCCTCACTCAATCACTGGGCTGATGCAGTTGTCACACACACGCATTCTTGCCACTCTCCCAAATCCCTAGCAGTCCTTGCTTAAGGTTTTGGCAAAAGCAACATCAAAGCCGTAACAGTGCTTAGGGAATGGCAATGAGTGGAGGGGAAGAGCAGGAGCACAGCCCCGAGAGGATAGGAGAGGACTGCAGAGATAAGAACAAGAACACAGGCTTTGCTGAGGGCGCAGAGCTGACTGCAGTCCATTGGCAAAGCTTGTCTGGGTTCTCTCTTCCTGCAACCTACCCACTGGCCTCATGTGGCCACAGATGTGCTTTTCTGTTTTATTAAGCACAGGGCACTGTAGAGTGTGAGACTGGACAATGAGACACGAGATGCAACTGGAATGAACAGTGCCATCACCTCACAACTTCCTGTTAATCTACAGCTAAAAAGCCCAACTAGGGGGCTAGTAATGCCCATCACTCATCACCATCATTCATACTTAATGATGTTTCTCTCTCTGCAGGAGCCAGACGCCCTTGGAGGTCCTTTCCTTGCGTTCAAGTCCGCTGAAGGAATGTGACCTTCAGCATCTGTCTCAGGGGACAAGCACAAGCCAGCTCAGGTCCCTGACTCTCAGGGGGATTTCAATGAAATCCTTCAATCCTGAGATCCTCCAGATTCTGATAGATAAACTGGCCAGCACCCTGGAGACACTGGACCTAGAGCACTGTGACCTGACAGACTTCCAGCTCCTTGTCATCTTGCCTGCCCTGAGCCACTGCTCCCAGCTCAAGAGTTTCAGTTGCTATGGGAACCACTTTTCCCTGGGTGTTCTTCAGGTTCTGCTAAACCTAAGTGCTAGACTGAGCCACTTAACCCTGGGTATGTACCCTGCCCCCCTGGAGAGCTATGAGTCCAACATTCCAGCAGAGTTTGTGCACCCTGAGCAATTTGCCCAGGTCTGTATTGAATTGGAAGAGGTTCTGATGGCCCTGAGACCATCCCTTAGGGTGAAAATCTGTGCCTACTCCTGTGATTTGTGCATGCTATGCCAGTTCTACAGACTGGATCCCAATGGATACTGGGAAATCACAGAGGAGTATCGTCATCAAAGTTCCTTTAGATGTTATAGTTGTGTGCCTCCTGAACTGCGTGATCACATTTTTTAAATCTTGATGCCCCTCCAATCTTCCTGTCCTTTCTTCCATGCAGGGCTTTCATGAGATGGGGATGTAATACTCACCACTGGATTATTCACCAGAATGCATACCTCAATGTGATGTTGGGAGGCAAAGCCTGGTGAAAGAGAAGGGTGCCACCCCGCACATGGCCTAGAAGAGCCTATCTCCCTCCCATCTCTGTTATTCTATCCCTGCTTCCCACAGCCAGACCATGAGCTGTGTCATCTCTGCCATGTACCTCTGCCATGCTGGTCTATTAGATGAACTTTTAGACAAAGTAAAATCTTTCATCTCTGAAATTCTGAGTGTTGAGTAGCCTGTAGCAATATCAAAAAAAAATAATAAAGATATGTGTGTCGGGCCTCTAAATAATTGTCAAATAGGCACGAAGGCAATCTTTCCATATAGCAAAGAACAAGTCAATAATCCTAACACCTTGGAAGCTGTGGCAGGAGGTTCACCTGGAGTTTGAGGCCAATCTTAGCTACATAGTGAGATCCTATCTTAAAGATAAGCACATACATAGATGGACATATAATGGGAATCCTAATGTAAACTTTCATGATCATTTAGTGACTTAGTTTTTACATTTAAGTGATGACTATTTTTATTTATTCATATGTTTTCTATAAATAATTACATTCAATTTGGGGAGGGAAAATTTCTTTTTTGTTGGTTCCTTCCTTTTTTCTTTTTAGCTATTATGGGCAGTTGAACTAAGTTTTTCTAAAATGAGCTCACTCTCTTGCATTTTTTATTTTCTAGTCCATTTTTAATTTTATTTTTACATGTTTTCCATACTTAATGATCACATTTATCATGGAAGTCAGTGCGTATACTTAATATATCCTGACAGGTTTAAAGTTCCACCCCCGCCTCTTCTATTTCTTGGACCCTTCCAACTGCAAGTGTATTTTTTGAGTCAGGGTCTCACTAAGAAGCAAGGTTGTGTAACTGGCTCAAACCTGCCATTTTGCTGCCTCAACCTCCCAGAGTGATGAGATTACAAGCATGCACCACCACACCCACCATGGTTTTCCACCTTGTCCTCAGCAATTTCTAGTGGTTGGAAGAAAAAAAAAAACATTTTATTTCCTTGTGTGCAAGGGGATAAGCTGGAGGCAACAAGGAACCAAAATAACATCTGCCATTCAAACTGTCCTTCAATTTTGGCAGCTCTTACCATGCAGACCTGGGCCTCATTCATGCTGGGCTTCATGAGCTTCACTCCCAGCCGCCTTCCCTCTTGTTTCCTTTCCTGGGGACTTCTGCTACTTCCCTGTATATTTCTTTTTTCTTTTTTTTTAATATTTATTTATTTATTTGTTGTGTGTGTGTGTGTGTGTGTGTGTGTGTGTGGTGTGTGTGGCCAGCTCAGCCCACCAGGGGGCGGGGCTGGCTGGCATGTGGTGCTGGGGATTGAACCGCGGTCCCTGTGC